TCTGAAATTGAGACTTTTAGTAAAATAGGAACTGCCAAATTAGATTAGGACCTTTTTCTCTCCATCTCCGTCCTGAATAAAATTACCTTGGACACGTCATTTTAAAACTGTATTTTTTCATTTTCCAAGTGAACTAAATTACTCTTTTTAATCTACACAGCTTTCTACCTGCCTCTCCCCATCCTAGCTGGAAGCTACCTTTTTATTTGCTGGCTTAGTTGCCATCAAACGTATATCTATACTCCTCCTGCCCATGTCCAGTTCTGTATGTCCAGCAGCCTCCTGGCCATGTCCACAGAGCAGGCACCTCAAACACAACATATTTGCAATGGATCTCATCACTTCCCCCATCACCTACCCTTCATCCGGTATTCCCAGCTTAGTAAATGGGATCACCATCCTACCAGCTGCTCAAACTGGAAACCTGAGAATAGTCTTTTGTCCTATATTGTTTGTTATGCCTTTTACTTACCTCTTAAATACTGAATCACTTTCTCTCCATTCTCACTGTCCCTACCATATAACAAGCTGACATCACCTTGATTAGACTAGTTTATTAACCTCCAGACTGATCTATATATAGCTCCCCATCCCCCAAGTCTGTTCACTGTTCCATAGCTGGATGATTTTTGAAATAGCTAATCTGATCAGGTCTCCTTTCCCCCCAAGTTGAAAACACTTTCAATTATCCCCATTTGCTCTTAACAGAAAGTCCACAGGTCCCTAACTTTGTACATTTAATTTTCTTGCTTCCCACCACCCAAAAACAAAATAAATAAAAAGCAAACTAAAACACCCAAAAAAACTTTTGGCTAACATATCCTTTAAGTCTTGGCCTATTTATTGCCATTTCTTAGGGCTTTCTTTCTCTGAACCTTTCTCCTTCTTGCGCCACGAAAGACTTCTTTTTTTTAATACCAAACCTCACTTGTAATTATTTGTCTTAAGGTAGATATCACATACTTCATAAGATGAAGAAAATAATAACACCTCTGTACATTGCACCCATGAGGTGCTGGCAGTGTTCTAAGCACTTTACATATTTTAATTCAACTCCCCCCAACAGCGTTTTATGTAAGTACTGTCACCCATTTTTCAGATGGAGAAGTTGCAGCATAGAGAGGGTAAGTAATGTATTCCATGTCACACAACTATCAATAGTAAGTGGCGGAGTCAGGCCTCAGTCCCATGCAACCTGGATCCAGAGTGTGTGCTCCTAACCTCCTTGGGCTGCCTGACCTAGCGTGGTCTTTACTTGCTGAATCCCTAGCTGCATTAGTGTCCTGTGGCTGCTATAGCAAAATACCAAAAAGTGGGGGGCAGAAATTTATTCTCGCACAGCTCTGGCAGCTGGAAGCCTAAAATCAAGGTGTCAGCGGGGCCGGGCTCCCTCCAGAAGCTCTAAGAACAAATCCTTTCTTGCCTCGTCCAGCTCCTGGTGCCCCACGTGTGCCTCGGCTTGTTGGCAGCACAACTCCAACCTCTGCCTACCTCTGTCTCCCCAAGGCAGGCTAGGCCTTTTCCATCAAGTACCTCACATTCTTCCAGCCTTGCCCCATCACTCAATTCCAAAGCCACTTGCACATTTTTAGGTGTTTTGTTGAACAACACTCCATTTCCTGGCACCAAAATCTGTATTAGTTTCCTAGGGCGGCCATAACACATTACCATAAACTGAATCATGTAAGACAAGATTTTATTCTCTCATGAGTCTGGTAGCCAGAAATCTGAAATCACTGTGAAAGGATTGGTTCTTTCTGGAGAATCCAGGGGCCCTTTCCATGCCTCCCTTCTAGCTTCTGGTGGCTGCTGGCAATCCTTGATGTTTCTTGGCCTGTGGAGAGATGCAGCACTGGAACCTCTGCCTCCGTCTTTACATCACCCTCTCCATGTGTCTCTCTGTCCTCTCTTATAAGGCCAGTAGTTCTTGGATTTAGGCCTTACATCAAATCCAGAATGATTTCATCTCAAGATCCTTAGCTCATTACATATGCAAAGACCCTATTTCCAAATAAGGTCACATTCTAAGGTTTCAGGTGGGCATGACTTTTGGGGACCTGCTATTCAACCCAGTTACACTAGTGTTCTTTATTCTTAGTTTCTGTGAGTTTAGAAGCGAAACACAAAACTTACTGTTAATCATTAACCTCTTGCTTATCTTGCCAAAGTAGAAGCCGAACTTTAAAATGTAGACATATGAATGTTTGCTGAAAAGTTAGTTTTTTGACAAATGTTTTCATTCCAGTCTGTCCTTTCCTGCCATACTATGGGCTCCTTGAGCTGAGCAGTGTCTGTAGGGAAGCTGTGCCGGTTTGGGTGTGCACATGGAACATTGTAGGGACCGAGTTTCTGTGGAAAGCACATTCTAACCCCAAAACCAAATATATTGGGTCGTCGGGAAAGTCATGACATTTTTCTATGTTTTTCAATGCAAAAATGTGTCATGACTTTCTCGACGACCCAATGCATACGGATCTGTGTATATTTATATGAGAAAGCTGCTGTCGTCACTTTTACAATTAGAACAAATAATTTTCATTATGTAAACTGTAAATATGCTCAAATGCATAAGTATTAAGACAATTTTTCTTTGAAAGCGTTAGCAGTATTGCTTGCTTTTTGTTACTTTATGCTTTTAAAAAATTCATCCTTCTACATGTAGCTCCAAGAAGAAAAACAAATATCAGTGTTAAGTATTATCTTTGATTAGGAGAATAAAAAATAATTCTTGCGTGTCACATTTTTAGAGGGACATTGACAAGCTATACATTTAAGGGAAGAATGTCAGGATAATGAAGACTCTGGAAAACATATTGTATGAGGAGTGACTAAAGTATTTGAGCATATTTGACCTGAAAAGAAAACACAGAGTAAAATTACAGATGTTGTGAAAGATTTGAAAGACTGCATGTGGAGGAGGTGTTAGGTTTATATCACAAAACTCTAGCGGGCAGGACCAGGACTAGTTGGTGGGTGTATTAGGTTTGCATCATCTCGTTAAAAAGAAAAACTTCCCAAAAGAGCGATTCCAGTCTAGAACAGACTGCAATATGAGGTAGTGAGTTCTCTGTTAAGGTGAAAATTAAGATTAAAATTAAAAGTAACTGTTCTTTGTTAAGACGGAAGTTATGCAGATGCCAGCATGGACTAAGTTGGCTGTTAAGGGACCCTTTCAATAGTCTGTGAGTTGCTTGAAAAAAATGGACAGAATGTCCATTTAATTACATTTGTTCCCATAGCATCTCATTTTCATGTTGACATCGTATGCTTGTAAACTGCGTTTTCTACACAGAAAACATTTTTACGTAGAATGTTTTTCTTGTTCCATTGAAATATTTAGGTATTTCTGAATAAAGAGGAAAAAGCAAACAGTTAAAGAATTCAACATCTTTATAAAAGGGGAAATCCTAAAGATTGATATTTTAGAAAATAAAGTATCAGGCAGTGCTGTAACTCTTATAGCTCAGTCAAAGCTCACTAAGTACTTGCTGATTTGATATTGTCACTTAATTAGATTTTTTATTTGATATTGCCTTTTGAAAGCTTCTTATTAATCTTTTTTTATTAGAGGACTCTGACATCTTTAACATTGTTAATTGGAATAGACTAATGTCTTAGTCCAAAAAGGCAGTAGAAATACCCATTATAGAGTGAAATCTAGAGCCAATTTAAAAAATGATTCTCAGAAATTGTAAAAAGCTTTTAATAGAAATTTACTAATCTCATATGCCAGCAGATGCTGATCTGAAAGAGAAAAGCAACCCTTTATTAATCTTCATTTCTTTAAAATTATTGACAATGTTTATATCCTTTTATTTATCCATCATTTAATATATCGCTTCTTTCTTCGGAATTACTTAATGACTCATTCCTGAAATTTTGCTAAGTTTGTATTTATTTACTACCTTAATAGTAACAGTATTTTTATTGATCACCAGTGATGTGCTTAGGCACTATGATAGATGTCTTATTTATTATAATAGCTTTAATTGTTCCAGTGGCTCTGAAAACAGGTACTGTTATGGTAAATAAAGTGTCCCAGAGGCTCAGGGAGGTTGTGGCGTGTCCACGGTCTCATATCTATCTCATAAGTGACCGAGCCCATTTAAAGCCATATCTTTTTTGAAACCCAGTTCTTTCAACTCCATGAGTTTGCCCTTGAGTAGACAGGAAAGTTAGACTCTTTCTCATTAAGTACCTCGCACACACTCCTGAATTTCTTTTGAATGAGAGAAGAAATACAATCACTTGTGTTAGTCTCTAAGTCTGGCCCTAGACGTTAATTTGCCTTGTGTTTTTAGTTAGTGACCATGCATCCCTGTTGGAGTCTGTTCCTCTGTTACAAGAGAACGGGAGCATTGGAGAGACTAAAGCTGAAAAGGAAGTTTCTCTCCAGCTTGAGAGAAACTCATTTCCATAAGAAAATAAGAAAGATGAGACATTCTCCACTGAGATGACTCCTTCAAGGACCAGAACTTAGAGCCTTTACACCATTTTTATGGAAATACTTCTCAGCTTTATTGTAATGTGGACCTGCTCTGGACGGGCCATGTACTGAATATAGTTAAATTTTTCTGGTTAAAATTCTGCATATCACATTGTTCCACTGATGATCTGAAAGTTGATTAAAATGTAGCCAAGACTGTCTGCCACCAAGTACTCACATGCCCTGAACCCTGAGGTCCTGTTTCTCTGGGTCATTTTTTTAGATAACCTTTGCTGCTGTACTAGTTCCTCACCCCACTACTACTCATAATTATTTTATCTTAAGCTGCTGTGGGACAGGAAATCAGAATAATTAGAGGTTGTGCAAATGAAATAAGAGTAACTTGAGTTTGAATGAGACTTGAAGGGATTTCTTGTCTGTATATTGAGCAAATATATTGAGCTTTAGTGCACAAACTTTGTTACATATTTTAACTTTCATTGAACAGATGAAAGCGTCACATAAGTGCCATTGTGTCTAACATAGAAAATGTTACTGTACCTTTCTTAAACAGAGAAGAAGATACAGAAAATGAAAACGAAAAGAAAATTTGGTACTACAGCACAAAGGTCCAGCTTGCAGAATTAATGGACTGCCTAGACAAAGATTATTGGGAAGCAGAACTCTGCAAAGTTCTGGAAGAAATGCGGGAAGAAATCCACCGGCACATGGACATAACCGAAGACCTGACCAATAAGGCTCGGGGCAGTAACAAATCCTTTCTGGCGGCAGCTAACGGTGAGAGAGAAGGAAGCGTTTTCATTTTACTTCTTGTTACATTTGAGATAAACTCTGGGTATGAAATCACTACAGAATTTGAAAATTACTATCAAGTGTGTATATTTTACTTGAATTCTCTGTGTTTTATTTTCCCAAACGAACCTTTTTCATCCTAATAGGAATTAGGGATGCTATGCATTTTAGTGTATTGTATCTTGGCCTGGTCATTACTTATAATCCCCCCATTTTTTTTTTAATCCAAGTATCTTATTAAGCCTTTTTGGGAATCATTTTTAATTATGAGAAATAATATTGTTTTAAAGTTTATTCTTTGATTTATTATTTTAAGTAAGACTTTTAATTTTAGAATAGTTTTAGAATTACAGAAAAGTTGCTCAGATAGTACAGAGAGTTCCATGTACCCTGCCCCGGGTTTCTTGTTACTAATAACATCTTTACTGCAGTACATTTGTCATAACTAATGCACCAATACTGATACATTGTAATAAATTAAGTCTATACTTCATTCAGATTTCCTTAGTTTTTATGGAATGGTGCTTTTTCTGTCTCATATTCCCATCCAGGACATCACATTATATTTAGTTATCATACCTCGTTAGGTTCCTCTAGACTGCCACAGTTTCTCAGTCTTTTTTTATTTTGGATGACCTTGACAGGTTTGAGGAGTACTACTGGTCAGGCATTTAGTAGAATGCCCTCAATATGGGTTTATCTCAGGTTCTTCTCTTAGCCTGGGGTTACGCATTTTGGGGAGGAAGACCACAGAGGTGAAGTGCCATTCTCATCATCATATAAAGACTACATGCTATGAGCATGACTTACACTCACAGTGTTAACTTTGATCATATGGTTGAGGTAGTGTTTGTCAGGCTTCTCCATTATAAAATTATTCCTCCTACCTGCTCTTTGCTTTTGGGAAGAAAGTCACTTTGCACAGCCCACATTTAGGGGTTGGAGTGTTACGTCTCACCTCCTTCAGGGAGCAGTTATTTATATATAAATATAAAAATTATTTGGGATTTTTCTGTACAAGAGATATGTCTATTCTACATTCGTTTATTCAGTCATTTATTTACATCAGTATAGACTTTTGGATATTTATTTTATAATTTGGGTTATATATTAATTATTACCTTACTGATTTTATTGCTCAACTTTCTGCTTTCAAAAATCCTTTGCATTTTAAAAGATAATAAGATGCCCGTGACTTTTTTTTTCGTTAAAGATTTTTATTGGGGAATTGGGGAGGGAACAGCGTTGGGGAAGGGGAACAGACAAGTTGCTGTTCTTTGGTTCTTCAGTCTAGTTGTGGAGGACGTTGCTTCACTGGCCCATGTTGGTATTATGATCATTGCGCTCTTCCCGGCTGAGGCAGTCGCTTACCGGCCTTGGGACAGCCGCTCACGGTGGCTCAGGGCAGCTCACGAAAACTCACACCAGGTACCGGCCAGCCCCACAGCCTACGCCATCACGGGTGACTCACAGCAGACCATCTCCAGGTCGAGCTGTTATTCACCATCTTAGCTGTAGAGGGTGCAGCGTCACTGACCCTGATGTGGGATCTGAACCGGCAGCCCCGTTGTTCACCATCTAAACTGTAGAGGGTGCAGTGTCACTGGCCCATGTGGGATCCGAACCGGTAGCCCTGCTGCTCAGAGCTCACACTCCCAAACCAACTGTTAACCAACGAGTCACTCAGCCGGCCCGGCCCCCATGATATTTTCTAAAAGCTGTAAGTAGTACAAAAAGTTATCCAGTGAAAAATAAACCTGTGACCTTCATAATTCCATTTCACCTTCTTTTTTCCAGAGACAACCATTATTGCCATTTAAAAAAATCCTACCAGATATGCTCTGTGCATGTTTCATAAGTATCACCAGTATTTTCTAATAGTACCTTTTAATCTTAACTTAGATGAAATGATTATGTATGACTCTGAAAGTTTAACTGCCTGGTTCTACTCTTCTACATATGTTGGGTTGTTGGAAAAGTCATGACGTATTTTTTCTATGTTTTTCGTTGCAAAACTGTATCGTGACTTTTCCAATAACCCAATATTATCTGATAAACATATATACCTATTGATTTTCCCCATTCTCCATTTACTGAAAAAAAAGTCTCCATTTTCTTAAAGTAGAATTGTCCAAGCTTTGTCCATTGGGAGCTTTTTCAGGTGAGTTGTGTGTCCTTTAAAGACACTTCATTCATTCATTCACTCATTCATTCATTCATCCAGCACTTTCTCTTTCCAGCACTACAAGATGCTCCAGGCTCCTGTTGTGTTTTCTGTGCCCCAGCCTTAGAATGCACTCTAAGGAGTCTTCGTTCTTTTTTATTGGAGAATGATATTTAGAAGCCATGATCTGGGGGCTAGGTATACTCGTTA